TTAATGAGTTTTTTGGGTTCATTGAGAACATGGTTGTTGTTCAATAATAAAATTATTCCTCAAAAATACAACTTGCCTAATAATTCTGCACTCCCTGTAGTAAACTTAAGGTTAAGCTCTTCATCTTGCGTAAAAAGGCTATCTAAAGTTGATCTGACAGCAGATATCTCTTGCAGTAAGGCAGGAGTTGGGGAGTCAGCATAAGTACTTTCTTTTGTTTTAAGTTCTGTCATTAACTGATTCTGCTTCCTCAATTTCTGCTGCCGCTTATTGGTATAATTTAATAATTTCCCACAGTAGGGCAGAGTCATTTGTTGACTGCCGGTTGATGTACAAAAAATATCTAAACTCAATGTTGAAGTAAGATATAAATGTATGGTCCTTTAGAATAGTTGTATTTAACCTCCAGTATTTTGCTCTGTTTACCATATCTTTGAGAGAGAGAGATCCAGCCTTACATTGGCATGGCCTGAGATTAGAATACTACCAATTTCACACGATAAGACTAAGTGCAACAATAGCCCTGGTAAAAAAAAAAAATCAATCCTAGTTTTATTCTCCATACATCTACAAATCTCAAATCTTCACAGATAGAATTAAGTGCCTTAGCTTGTGGTGAGAGAGGCAAAGGCTTGTGGGGGAGCCTGTCAATAACAGGATTCAGTATACAATTGAAATCTCCCCACACTATAGAAATGTCAGAGTTAATCTCAGCGAAGTCTGTAAATACTGTGGTCATAAAATCAGACGGATGAGCAGGAGGGTAGTAAACATTCAATATAGAAACAACCATACCCAATAATATTCCCTTGACTATAACATACCTTCCATGCCTGTCCTTGACACACTCTGTATTTGAAAAAGGGGGGCTTTTCCTCACAAGGATTGCACCCCTCTACTTCTTGAGGTAAATGAGGAGAAAAATACCTGTCCAATTCCACCTTGTGGTAATTTAAGGTGTTCTACATCATTTAAATGTGTTTCTTGCAAAAGTGCAATATCAATGTGTTCTTTTTTCAGAAAGGTGAGTATTTTTCTCCTTTTAATACGATTATGGACCACTCTTACATTCCATGTACACAAATGCATCTGATTACTTGCCATATTATTTAAGTCACCTACTGATAGACAAGTTACTGAGGAGTAGTGTCTTCCTGCCTCTGTTCAAGTGAATGAAGCAGCGAAACGGCCTCCTTCAGGGTGTTAAATCTCCTCTGAGTCCCGTTCACCATTACTCTCAAGGTAGCTGGGTATAGTAATGCATAGTCCACATTCATCTTCCTCAGCCGCACCTTTACATCATCGAAAGCTTTCCGTCTTCGAACGACCCCAGCTAATCATTAAAGAAGGAAATCCTAGATTCCTTACATGTGGGGCTGTCCTTGTTAGATCGGTGGGGTCCGAGCCGACGAGCCGCGTCCATCATGTTTATCTGCATAGTTGTGAAACTTCATTATAAGTGGCCTGGGACGTTGATCAACGCCGGGCTTCGGTGCTGAGGATCGGTGTGCTCGGTCAAGTTTCAGCCTCCCTGCCTTTGTGTCCATCTGGAGGTACTCCGGGATCCACTTTTCAAAGAACTTAACTGGATCTGGGCCCTCCGTGCCTTCAGGTAAGCCGACTATACGTACGTTGCACCTGCGACCTCAGTTGTCAAGTTCATCTTTATGTTCTAGCATCTCATGTATTTGTTTCTCGAGTTATGCCAGCTTAGCCTCTGATAATGTCACCGTGTCCTCCACATCAGCAATCCATCTCTCCGCCTCATTCATTCTGGTGGCGATCGCCTGCAGCTGTGAGGTCTGTTTTTTAATAGCTTCGAGAACAGTAGAAATCTTGGAGTCAATTACTTTAGTAAGATTATCAGTTATTCTATCCAAAGCGTGAACAATACTTACAATAGAGCCGGGACTAGCAGACATGCTCAGTATCTCCGGTATGGTGCCTAGCTCCTCTTTGTTTTCAGCATAACTGGGAGTTTTCCTCAATGATTTTTTTGTACTTCTGTCCGAGATTTTTAGGAAGTAACTGTTCAGGTTCATGTCAAAACACTCCCCTTTGGAAATTCTGTACTTGACGCCATTCAAATATAAAGATATGAGATAAATATTAACAAATACCACTGGAGCTCACTCAGCCACAATGTCTACTCTACGGCGCCATCTTGAATTCCCCCATAACACTTGTCTACTCTGAGTACTCTTTTGTGCTTTTTACTACAAGCTTCATTCACCCAACCACACACATGTTCAAACCTTGGTGCCCGCTCTAACATTCACACACACCCTCCAGTTGTGAGTCAGGAGCATTGGGAGGAACTTGAGTTCAGTACTTGAGGATACTGACTCACCCACATTCTGCTTGGTAGATGACCTGCTCCATTTACTCATTTTTCTTTCTGAAAAATGAGTAAGGTGACAGAAAGTGACAAACAAGAGACAGAAACCTTCTGTCTCTTGTTTCTTGCTCACCCTGGCTAAATAAAAGAACTTGTGGTCATCAGCATGCTTGTTAAAAAGCAGAGCAGCTATGAAAGACCACGGGTTTGTTTGTTTATCAAACAATGAGACAGTGAAAGAGGCTATTTTAACAGAGCGTTATATATTTATCAGTGACTTTGTAGATAAGATGAAATTATCTTTATGTTCCTCCCATTATGAAGATGATCACCAGTGTCCTGAGTCATGTATCTCCTTCTCTCCAATAAAAGTGAATGACTTAGTTACAGTAATGGGAAAGATGAAACCCTCATCATCCTCGTTAGAGATCTTGCCTCCTTCTGTCCTGTTTGGAACTTTCACAATCACTTCATTGCTGTCTATTATTAGCAACTCACTGAGAAAAGTTTGTGGGCTCTTTCAACACATTGCATTCGATCGGGGACCCCAGTTTACATCCTGCATTTGGAGAGAGATCTATGCCATTGTCGGTGCCAAGGTTAGTCTTTCCTCTGGCATCTATCTGCACATTAACAGGAAAACCAAACGAGCCAACCAGGAGTTAGAAGCACTGTCCACCTGGAGCAAGCAGCTATCCTGGATCAACAACACAGTACCGTGACGTCTTTGGCTATGGTGTCTCTACATTTAACATCTATCAACCTCCTCTGTTTCCACCAACTGAAGCTGAGAGTTCTGTCTCTTCTGTGCAGCAGCATCTGGTTAGCTGTTGGCACCTGGAAGGCCACTTAGGCTGCTCTCCGCAGGACAATGAACCAAAATACGCACATTGCTGACTTGCTGACGCCAGGTTTCTGACCAGCCTACTGACCTGGTCAGAAAGTTTGTTTTTCAACAAAAGATGTTCCACTCAGAACAGAACCCAAAAAAATATTACAGTTGCTTATTAACCCTTTGAAACTGAGGCCTTGAATAATCCTTTGTCAGCAGTTTTACACTTCTTATTTAATATGAGGATACACAAAGTTTTCCATCTGTCCCAAATGAACCCCTACAACCCAAATTTCAAAATTTCTTTACGAGCACTAATTTGCATGACATATTTCATTGATATAATTTCTCACATGCACACGTCTTCCTGCCCTACTGACATAATCCCTCTTAAATGTATTAAACATTTAGCTATAATTTTCTATAAACCCCTCTTGAGATTCCACTGCTTTAGATCATTACAGACCAATTTACAAACTGCCATTCATTTTAAAAAAATCTTTGCAACTGGGTTTGTTTCTCTGCCACAGCTCTTAATTGTACAGCTGGTTTTCATCACACAAGGTTTGTAAAAAATATTAAAGACTTACACAAGAAGCTCTTTTTTGCTGTCTTTGGGCTGAAACTTGACCTTGAAGCTGGTGGTGGTGACCTCACCGGGGTATTTCCTGTCCTCCAAGTTCTCTTGGTCCTCTTCCTCACCTTCAGATGAGGTATATGAGGGAGCTGTGTACTCCACCTAAAGCAAGGTAAGACATAAGGTGCTTGTAGCAAGGACCCAGGCTGCCAGACAGTTTTTCCCAAATGTGAATTTTTTTTATTTGTGCAAACAATTTAGGAGACAGTCTGCTCCATGCTCTTGCGGCTTCCTGCCAAACAATAACCGAAAGGGAGGAATCCCGTTGAGGCCTGGGGCACCTCCTGCACTGTAAACAACAGAGGGGTTGGTGGGGTGGCTGAAGAAGAATTTAAAATTCATGTTTCATGCAGTTCTTTTAGTGTACAAGACATGAACAGAGGCCCCTGGCCAGTCAGTATCTCTTTTGGGATGCTGGTTAACCAACTCCGGACACTCCAGGCAGGACATGTGCCATCGGCACACATAATCCGCCTGGAAAATCATTTTCCACGGCTTCTTCTTTCGTGCAAGTGTTATGAATCACTTAATAAATCCATCAATTTTAATCACTTGGTCAAAGGCTGAGCATTGGATGTCATCGCAAGACTGTTATAATAGGAAATCGTGTGTGGAGTGAATTACTAGAGGCAGCGGGGCCTCAAGTGAAGTACCTGCCATCTCCTCCTCCCCAGAGTCAGCATCAGATGACCCGCATCACCAGTGAGCACAGACACTACACACCGGTCGTGAATGCATCCCTCATACTGCCCCAAAAGGTTAATAAACCCTGGCCAATCTGTCCCCAGAATTAAGGGATGTGTCTGGTGCGAGCTAACTGCAGCCTTTACTCCATGCATTTTTTCACCTGTATTTAATTTGATTGATTGATTGATCATACTTTGTTCATCCCGAGGGAAATTGGGTTAAGGCTGCCAGCCATGCCAGCGCCATCTTACCCTTCCGACCATACATACATTACACAAACATCACATGGGGAAGACAGGTCAGACAGGTATAACAATGGTAAATACACAACATGAGGAAATACGAGGAGAAAAAAGAACTCCCCCCAGACTGAGCTCCAACAGGGAGATCAGTTTGAGAACAGAAAAAAAAAAACACCTCAGCGCATACAAAAAGCACATGACTATCAATACACTAAAGAAACACGAGACAAGCAACAGGGGAGGGTAAAGGGTAATAGAGAGCCGGTGTAAACAGCGCATCCGGTCCTGCAGCATGTCTGCGCTGGTCCAGTCGACCGCCATCTTCCCCGGGAGGGGACAAGCACCGAAGGCGTTTAGAAAGGGAGGGGGGATGAGTGTGTATCAGTGTATGTGTGTGTGTGTCCAGAGTTCAGCTGAGATAGTGTCCTTCGCCCTGCCAGGCTAAGTAAACAGTCTTCCAGCCAACCCAGGTGGCCTTGCATAGGGGAGGAACAGTCTAAGCACAGTCTGTTATCAGGGTGTTTTTGTTCAGCTCCAGCCTTGAGATCACAGCTGGTGCCGAAGTGGTAGCTGCATGAAGTGATGGTGGTTTTTACTTTAGTGCGAACAACTCTTATTCTGAGTGCTTCTCCAAGGTGTAATCCAATTTGCGCTCAGAGGTCTTATTCTGAGTGTTCACGGCATTTGCAAGCTTCTCAAAGATCTTATCCGTGCTGCGCAAAATGAGCCCATTTTGAGAACTCACGCCTCGTCCCATCGTTTCAATCCCAGCGGGCAGCCTTGTGGGGGTTTGAACAGCCGGTTTCGCTTTCTTATTTCTTCGATAAGCCAGGGCCAAGCCAGCTCCCATCAGCAAGAACCCTGTTATCATGGTTCCGAATAGATAGATATCTTCAGCGTCTTCGATCGACAGTCCCGCCAGGCACACAACCCTCGAGTAATGCCACCCGTCCATCAAGTATTCAGCAGGGAAAGTACCTCCAGGACACTCAGGCTCACCCGAGCCCAGACTTCTCGTTGAGAAAAGGGTGTCAATTGCATTCAGGGACCAGTTGATCAAATCCATAATTCCTCTCTGTGAGAGAGTGTTCCAGGGAAAAGTAATACAAAAAACACGAGACTAGACAAGGACACAAGAGGCCAAGCAGGAAAGCTAAGGGAGAGGAGGAGAGGAGAGGAGAAAAGTGTGACTGCCTTTGTCAAGAGCAAGAGAGCACCAGCACTATGGCCTATTCGTGATGTTCAGGTGAAAGTCAGCCCAAGCAACCAGACATTCGACTACACTTGTCCCATGCTTGGAATGATCCCGCAGCTTATCTAGGAGATGGCGATGCACCACTGCCTGCTCCCGGTGCACAGCTACCAGGTCAGCCAGCATCTGGGTTAGCACCTCCACTGGCTGAAAAGAAGTGACTGTAGCAAGGACCCAGGCCAGCAGGAAGTTCTTCCTGCGTGTGAAGGTTTTTTTTAAATTTGTGCAAACAGCTTATAAGACAGTCTGCTGCATAATTTCTACAGCCCACTCTCTCTGCAGCTCAGTGATCCTCTCCCCTTAGGTCCAGGGATCCTACTGAAGTAGGGAGCCATGACCAGGTGATGGAGAACAGATATGTGGGGCAGCTTCACCGCTCCCCTGCAGCTGAGCCACAAACCATGCCACCTTATTAGACCACCACCCAATGTAAGGGTAATTGAACAGCTCTACTTATTCCCTAAATCATTTTTTATGGTTCTGTAATGGTTAATCCACCATGTGCATCACTTTAATCAAACCAACAATTTAAAGCTAAAATATAATTATTTCTGTTATCAATGAACTTTCTAATGTATTATTTTTCAAGACAGGAGAAAAAGCAGTAAAGTACATTATTGTTTTTTGATTAAGATGTCAAATTGAAAATATTTACTGGCGTTCCAAATTAAATTTTTAATGGTTTAATATGACACTAATAATAATTTACGACTTCAATCTTGACAGATTTCTAAAGTATTTGTGTTTTTCTTGTTTTTATTGCAGGTGCTCTAATACATTTATTAAGAACTGTAGGTTCCCAACAAATCAGCTCTGATTCGCTTTCATTTTCTCTAGCTGTCCTCATTTACAGTAGATCTCTACTTACCTCTTCGTGGTCTTCTTCTTTGACACCACCCATTTTGGTGAAGTCAAGTGGGCCTTCCCACTCTTGCTGAGTTTGGCCCTGAGATGCAATGGCTCCCACATGTTGAGAGGAAGAAGACAAAGAAGATGAAGGCTCTGGAGACTGTACTCCCTCCCGCTTGGTCTTCTTCATGCTAAGGTCCAAGGTGCCATTCTCATCCACCTCAATATCCGCCTCCTAAGTGAGGACACAGTGTGCAAATGAAGTGACTGCAAACTCAAAGAGCACGAGTTTCATACACTGTTCATTGTTAGGCTATTTTAAACCGTAGTTTTAAAAAAGAAGCTTGCGTCTAAATGAAATTCACTGTGCATCACCTTGGTGCAGGGCTCCCTGGTCTTGGTGCTGAGTGTCTCTGGTCTCTCCCAGCAGCGGGTGGACAGGTTGAGGATAGCTGTTGCTGCCATGTGGGCTGCCTCTGCATCTTGGCTATAGTCATAACCGCTGGAGGACAAGGTGCTCATAGAAAAGCTTCCTGACATGCTGTGACTGGGGGAGGATGCCTTGGGGAATAATTTAGCTGCATACAAGTGGAACAAAATGATTTCTTTGAGACATGAAATTGGGAGGAGATTACTGCATATTCTACGACTATATGAGTGCAACATATGTACTAGTTCAGGTTTCCTTTTAGTTATAGCAGAACCTCATACAATTTTACATGTATACAGAGCTTGGCAAGTGAAAAAACAAACTTTTATGTATAAATTATTTAAAAAAGTAAAACATTTTGTACAAAAACATACAGTTATTAATACAAATTTATAGACGTTACTGACAAAAATTGTTTTTTGGTATAATGTCATTTATTGATCAGAATAATTGTAGAATGACATATTCCATTTGGATATAACTCAGGTGGTTCTCTGCCCCTATAATCTCAGGACTGCGCCTTAAGTTGTTTCTGATACAGATGTCACGCATGGCAGCTCTGCCTCTTTAGCATGTGAGTGTGAATGGGAAACATTATAAAAGCCCTTTGCAGAACCTAGCTATGTTTGAAAGGTGGTATAAAAATGTGAATAAGACCATTTCACATAGAATGGTTAGCACTGTCACCTCGCAGCAAAAAGACTCCTGGTCTAAACCAGGAACCAAATGAGGCCTTCATATGTGGAGTTTGCACATTTTCCCTGTGCCTGGCATCTTCAAGGTAGTTTGGCTTCCTCCCACAGTTCAACTGATAGGTTACCTTGTGCTTGATGGATGTGAGGAGGGTAAATGTATAACAGAATTAGAATTTTTTCCCCATCTGTCTCTCTTCTTATGTTTGGTGTGTGTCTTCTTGTTTCTGTGTTTGGTTTCTTTTAATTGTTTTAATGTTTTACTTTGTAGCTTAGTTTTCTTTTGTATCATGTGTTACTTTTACTTATTCACTGTCACCTGTATCTCATTTCCCCTGATGTTTGTCATTTCTCAGGCTCAGTGTATAACAATTCCCGTGTACCTCTTTGTCAGAATATCGCTGATCCTTGTGTGTAACACTGCTTTTTGTTTTCCTGCTTTGGATTTAGTCTCTGTGCTTTCTTGGCTTTCAACTGTTTTTGTTCCTTCTGTATCTTTTGAATTTCTTGCATTGTGATGGCTGCAGTTACAGCCACACAGTGGTAATGTCCACCAAACATCAATGTTACAACAGAGGCTTACACATAACACTACATTTACATTTTTCTTCCTTTAGATATAGGATTTCATTTACAGGGTAATAAAGAATTGGTTTTGGTTTAGAATTAATTCATTTATATACTCACATAATACTGTATTTTAAAATAAGTGAGGATATTTTAGTTTACATTGTTATATATGTATGATTTAATCTTTCTTCTGTTTTCTTTACTTCAGTGACAGCTGCTGGGGTCCCTTGGTTGATGAGCTAAGAGGTAGAAAAGGGGCAGAGCAAGCTTATATGGAGAACTGCAAATTGGGTCATACCACAATTCTGGATCATGGGGGGGGAAATGGAATTTGTTATGTTAGTCTCAGTTGGGTTTTTGTGTGTTTTATCCCTTTTTTTGCTTTTGTGGGCTGATCAGCCACTATTTAAGTTTCCACTTGTCTGTTTAGGTAGGTCAGTTTGTTTCAGTTGTTGTTAGTGCTTGTGTAGTTTTGTTACTTTGACCTCTTTTATGGGCCCAACATTTAGATTTTTCTGTATAGTTTAACCGAGTTTGTTTTGGGGTTGAATAAAAAAACTTTTTTGGACTTTAACCTGTACCTGACTTTCCTTCACTGCTCGGTCCATCACATGCATCCTTAATTTGGGTCATCATTTCCAGCCTTAACTACATAATCTTTTTCTTTTTGTATTATTCTGTGTTTAAATTGTTTGGAGATTGCAGGAGTGCTTGGTTCTAAAATATATTCAAGAATAAGACAGTGAAAGAAAGTGCTTAATGCTTATCAGATTCACCAAGTTTTTTTCTTTGGTATCTCTAAAGGAGATAAATATTGCCTTTGTCATTTGAAATATCTCATTTAAGCCTTCATCTACTTGTAATATGGATGTATTATAACACTGCAATTGATCAGAAGATACCAAACAAATAACAATTTGCACAGAGGGAATGCGGTTCACAAACAGTGCCATAGAGAGTTTATGTTAAAACCATAACGATACCTTGGAGTAAAAATTGACACAGCTCTTAAAATGGACAAATAGGTAAATACAGTGGTGAGAAAAAGCTTTTTTCAGCTGAGGCAGCTCTCTAAAGTAAAACCTTTTATTTCTTTATGTGACTAGGAGAGAGTTTTACATGCATTTGTGACCACTCGGCTTGATTATTGTAATGGACTTTATTGTTACTGTTACTGTTACTGTTGATCAGGCTTGATTATCACGCTTGCAAATGGTCCAGAATGCTGCAGCTTGTCTGTTGACAGGGACATGCAAACGTGAGCACATTACCCCTGTTCTTGCCTCTTTACACTTGGTTGCCTGTCCATTTTAGAATTCATTTAAAAATTTTATTGTTTGCTTTTAAAGTTTTAAATGTCCTGGCTCCTTCTTACCTGTCAGACCTTCTACACCAATACAGTCCACAAAGGTCTCCCAGATCAACTGACCAGTCACTCCTTGCTGTCCCCATACCGAGACTGAAACACGGGGGGGACCGAGCTTTCGCTGTTGTGGCCCCCAAATTATGGAATAAACTGCCCCTCCATATTAGGCTGGCCCCAACACTTGAAATGTTTAAATCACTTTTAAAAATACACTTTTTTTCAAAGGCTTTTTAGGAGTCGTACCAGAGTCAGCTTGTAGTCAGTTTTAGTCAGCTGTTGGTCACTCTTAATCTTTTTATTTTGTTAATCTTATTCATTGTATATCTTATTGTCTATTTTACTCATGTTTTAATATTTAATATATATACTGATTTATTTTTATCTTCTTTTTCATTTATGTATTTATTTTATTGTTATTATATTTATTTCTTTGTCTGCTTAATGTATGTTTTTTAACTGCTGTCTCTGTTTTATTATTGGAAAGCACTTTGGTCAACTTTGTTGTTTTTAAAGTGCTATATAAATAAAGTTGGATTGGATTGGTTATAAAAAGCCTGTAAGTTGTTAAAAAATAAAAGCAAAGTGAAATTGTGTCTTACTTTTGAAGGCTTTGGGTGATGTTTCAGCAGTGCTAGGTGTCTTTGGAATGAGCGTACGTTTTCCAAAAACCTGACCATCAAAGCTTGCATAGTCAAAAGACACCTTGGAGTATTTCTCCAGCTCCTTGGCCAGGTTTGCTCGAGGTGTAGTGGTCACCGTGTTGGGCCGGTAGCTGCCATACTGAGGGATCTCCAGCTGTTTGACAAAACACATGGGCCTAAAAAAAGAGCCCTGATTTAGGTACTGATACTTTAACATTGTATGAATCAATTAGTTGAAAATTTTTCTTGCATGTCTCACCTGAGCACTCTGTCAGAATTGGAAGAGGGTTCACTGGCTGAAGCCTGTAAATGAACCTGTTTGTCCTGGTTCTTGTTCAGCTTAGCAGCTGCGGCAATGGGGCAGCCGGACAGACTGATGGGGAGGCATGCCAATGATATTGCATTTAAAGAAATAAAATGCTCATCAATAGAAACTCACTGAATTGCTGGGAAAGCAGTGTAAGCAGATGTGAGCACAATGAAATGTTATGCAGTATTATTTTGCAAATGTGTGTGTGTGTGTGTGTGTGTGTGTGCAATCAGATCTAGGATCTTTAACACTAAACTATTTAAAAAAACCCATCAGAATACAAGCCTCTTTTTACAAGTTCTTTTCTATGAAGTAGTGACAGTCAATTTCTGTTTCATATACTGTTGTAAAAAGTGTTCAGAGTGTATCGAGTGCTTTATTAACCTGCGATGTGTGTTGCGGTTGCTGTTAACATGGCCTTGGCCTGTGCAGCCAGGAGTAGGACACTTCAAGACGTTCTCATGCATGGCCAGGACTACAGACACACAGCAAGTGCAAACTCAGGTCAGTGCATTTATCTTGCATTAGGTGGTTTCACAGCAGTAACAGTAGTAATGTACGTGTACACCTGTATGAGCTAGAAAAGGACAAGTGGCAAAGATACAGAATTTACAGCAGTAGTGGAAGTAAGAGTAATGGTAAAGCTGGTAGAGTTAATAATAATAATTACAACCTGAATTCCAAAAAAGTTAAAAGCCTATGTAAAATAGTTGACTTAATATGCTGAGGATGTGACAGTCTAATGTTGTGGAACACCTCACAACTAATAAACAAACATACAGGTCAGGAAAAAAAAAAAGCACCCCAAAAGTAAAGATAGGGATTCACCCATCTGTGAAAACCTATGATGATATTGTATTCCGAAATAACATTACTAAATATAAATTTGCAGGATGCTACCTACAATTTGGTGATTTTATTATCTAGTCAATTCAGTGTTGGCCAGTCATATAGCACCAATCACCTTAAGGCACTTTAAATTGCAAGGTAAACACCCTACAATATTAGGGACACTTTTTTAGAAACAGGTTTGTGTGTTAGCATTATTGGTCAGTATTTATTAATCATGGTGATAATTCAAAGTGCACACATTTGAATGTTGGTCAATGAAGTTAATGGTAAGCTATACTTACTCTCTGGAGGGATTCTGTCTTTGTGAGGACATCCAGACAGACTGCGATGATGGGGATACAGCCCAGTCACATGACCCGTCCCATCACACCCTGGCGTTGGACACTTGACTTCCTTTTTTTCTGGAATTTTATTTAGATAGTGATCACCTACTTTCTATGCAAACACGTTCACATTTGACTTTGCTGTTTCTTACCTTTGCTGTAGTGAGTGGTGCGGCGGGCTACAGCAGCAGCCTCTGAGCTCTTGCTGGATGATGTGTATGGTTGGTAGTCCAGGGAGCTCCGGCTCTCCTGGCCTTCCTTCACTTCCTCCGCCTTCAGAGCAATAGCCTGCTCCAGCAGCCCCAGGTTCCCCCGAGTCATATCCCAGTTCTCTGAGTCGTCTGTTATTCCCGAGCCCTCTGAGACACGATCCTGCTCCTCTCCTTCCTCTTCTTCCTCCTCCTCCTCCTCTTCCTCCTCTTCATCTTCATCATCATCATCATCATCATCCTCCTCAGAGCGGACCTCTATAACCACTGTTGTTGGAGAGGCTTTACTGGAGTCTTGGTCCTCCTCTTCCTCCCCCAGGATCTCACTGTCTTCCTTCTCTTGTCTGTGATCCTCCCCCTCTCTCTCCCCTTCCTGTTCTTCATCCTCTTCTTCCTCAGTCATGGGAGTACAGATCTTTTCTTCCCTGAGTGACACCTCAGTTTCAGATCCCTGAGTGCGTGGACTCAAAGTGTAAGGAGTGTCAACCTCTTGGAGAACCTCCCTGTCTGTTCCATCCTCCTCTTCTTCTTCTTCCTCTTCTTCCTCTTCTTCCTCTTCTTCGACCTCTTCTTCATCAGTTTCCCTCTTATGCTGCTTTGACTCTTTTGCCAGATGGCCGTAATCACCACTTGAATACTGATGATCTGAGTTTTTCTGGCTTATCACTTGTCTTTCTATTACCCTCTCTTCTACAATATTCTCAGGACTTTTTTGCTGTCCATTTTCTTCCTGTTCTTCTGCTTCTTCCGCCTCCTTTGTTTCTTTTAGATCAGGAATGCCTGTTAGCTCTGCGGGTTCCACAGATGGCTGATTCTTGGTCATCAGACAAGCATCCTTCACATCCTTTGTCTCTGTTTCCTCCTGCTGAAGGTCATCAGAAGGTTTTACTTCCTCACCAGCTTTCTCACTCACAGTTTTGTTCTCAGCCTTTGCACTGATGTGTTTGTTCATGTCAAGGTCAGCTGAAGGACACACTGCTGTTACTTTTGTCACCTGTGAGGCCTCTGCTGTGGAGTTCAAAGTACAGATAAATGTCATTGCCACAGATTGTTTTGTCTGTGTCATCTCACAAAAACAAGCATTGTGACTGATCTTGCAGGTGACTTGATGTGATTTGTTTAGCAAGAGTGAAGTGAAGCATGCAAACCAAACTGTAGACCAAAGTCAACTGTTCAGGAAGTTGGCTTTGGTCTACACTCATGCCAAACTCTCCGCTATCTTGAAACGGTTCTGTTCGTCACAGTCACTCAAATACTGATTATGTTTTTTAATGTCCTTGTTTTTATACAAAGCTCATTTCTGTGACACTGGATTACATATGCTTTAATGTGTCTATATTTCAACTACAAAATGGAAACTTGGATCAGTTTCAGGTTGAAGTAAGGAATTACAACTACATGTACCTTTATCAATATTTTTCAAAGTCTACAATGTTACTTTTATGTAAGTAGGCATTACATTTTAAGATCTACTTCACCCACATCAGAGTAACATCAGAGTTGACAGTGACAGAAATTGTAATTTTGTGTCTGTACACCACAAACAAGATTGATGTTAACAAAGGTCTTGCGCTATCTGTTTAGGAACTTTTATGCACAGCCCCTCCATTTTCAGAGGCTTTACAGTTTATTATTCCATAACAAATTACAACAATAAAAGATCTGAAAAACCATTCAATGAGAAGGTGTGTCCAAACTTTTGACTAGGAAATAAGTATTTGATCCCCCATCAATCTGCAAGATTTCTGGCTCCCATTTATATTTTATACAGGTAACAAGCTGACATTTGGAGCCTTTTCAGCTCATTACCTGTATAAAAGACAGCTGTCCATAGAAGCAATCAATCGATCCAGATTCCAAACTCTGCACCATGGCCAAGACCAGAGTTTTCCATGGATGTCAGGGACAAGATTGTGGACCTACACAAGGCTGGAATGGACTACAAGACCATCGCCAAGCAGCTGGGTGTGAATGTGACAACAGTTGGCGTGATTATTCGCATATGGGAGAATGATAAAATAACTGCCAGTCTCCCTCGGTCTGGAGCTCCACACAAGATCTCACCTCGTGGAGTTTATGAGAATAAGAACGGTGAGGAATCAGGCCAGAACTACTCAAACTTTGAAGTTTGTCACCAAACATCTCAATGTTTCAAAAGAGGACTTGGTGAAGGTGTTGTAGTCAAATGAGACCAAAACCGAGCTATTTGGCATCAACTCAACTTGCCATGTTTGGAGGAGGAAGAATGCTGTCAATGACTCCAAGAATATTATCCCCACCGTCAAAGATGGAGGTAGAAACATGCTTTGAGGGTGTTTTTCTGCCAAGGGGACAGAACAACTGTATCACATCAAAGGGAGGATGGATGGGGCCATGTACCATCAAATCTTTGGTGAGAACCACCTTCCTTTAGCCAGGGTATTGAAAATGGGTCATGGATGAGTATTCCAGCATGACAATGATCCAAAACACACGACCAAGGCAACAAAGGATTGGCTCAAGACGAAGCATATTAAGGTCTTGGAGTGGCCTAGTCAGTCTCCAATCCCACAGAAAATCTGTGGAGGGAGCTGAAGGTTAGAGTTGCCAAACATCAGCCATGAAACATTAATGACTTGGAGAGGATATGCAAAGAGGAGTAGGACAAAATCCCCCCTGAGATGTGTGCAAAACTTGTGGCCAGCTACAAGACACGTCTGACTTCTCCAGTTACCAAAAAAGATTTTGCTACAAAGCACTAAACCACGTTTTGCAAAGGGATCAAATATTTATTTCCTTCATGAAGATGCAAATTAACTTGTAACTTTTTTAAAATCCATTTTTCTGGATGTTTTGGTTATTGTTCTGTCTCTTACTTTACTTTACTTTACTTTACTTTACTTTATTGATTTCAAAGGCTGTTGGTAGTCCCCCGAACACGTTTTAAAACCAGAGCGGTGGCCCCAAGGTTGTGGAATTCTCTCCCTCCATCTTTAGACTAGTTTTTAATTAGATTTGTGCTGTGTATTTGATTGTACTCTTTTATGTTTATCTGTTTTATATTATTGTGAAGCACTTTGTGGTTTTTATCCTGTGAAGAGTACTATATAAATCAATAAAGTAAAGTCTCTCATTGTTCAAATAAACCTGCCATTGAAATTATAGACTGACCATTTCTTTGGTAGTGGGAAAACTTACAAAATCAGCAGGGGTTCAAATAATTGTTTTCCCTGACTGTACATACTTAAAATAACTATGTATACAGGAGCCAGTTTTGCTTGGCGGGTAAGGAGGCAACTGCTCTAGTCTGGATTTACTCACTTTTTATTGACTCTGGCCTGCTTGTTGTTTTGGCCTTCTTGTCCTTGTTTTCTTCATCCCCATCATTCTCTTTCTGCTCCTCCTCTTCCTCTTCTGCTGTGTCACTGTCTGCAGTCAACCCTCCATCTGCTGCCTGTTTAGCAGACTGATTCTTTCTCTTGGGAGCGGACTGGTTCTCCCCGGCCTCAGCCTCCTCCAGCTTCCTTTTCTTCACAATTGGGCAACCAAGTATGCTGAAAAGAGAAACATGGTTACTGATGTGTATAATGTCAGAAGAAGAAAGAAACCTAACAAGTAATTAGTGTTCTGTCACATACTATATTGAGGTGTGTGAGCAACACTGGAGAGTCTAGATACTACTAGCAACAAAGTTTTTAGTGGCTTTCCTTCAGGTACTCTGGCTTCCTCTCGCAGTCCAAAGTCATGCTTGCTAGATTAATTCGTAATTCTAACTCGGTTTTAATTGTGAATACAAGTTAGAGAAGGTGCTTAATCCCTAGCGCTTTATGTTTGATAGTGTGATAGTTTTGAGCTAATGTTTGTTTATGCCATAGTTCCCAGGTCATTGACCCAGCGTTTTGTGTTTAGTGAACTTATTTGGGGATTTGTTCTGTGAAGACTTTCTAATTTTGTTTATCATAATATTTCTAGTCTCGGTCGTTGTGTCCTTGGGCAAGACACTTCACCCGTTGCCTACTGGTGGTGGTCAGAGGGCCCGGTGGCGCCAGTGTCCGGCAGCCTCGCCTCTGTCAGTGCGCCCCAGGGTGGCTGTGGCTACAATGTAGCTTACCAGCACCAGTGTGTGAATGTGTGTGTGAATGGGTGGATGACTGGATATGTAAAGCGCTTTGGGGTCCTTAGGGACTAGTAAAGCGCTATATAAATACAGGCCATTTACCATTTAGTAATTCTGTCATAGTCCTGTTTTTTTTTTATTTTTGTCTAAACTCTTAATTAAAAATGTTAGTTTTAGTTTTAAGTCAAGTATATTCAGTTTATGTTTTGAGTCCCTTGAATTTTTGCCTCCCTTTTCTCCTGTGCCCTTGTCTTGTCTGTGTTTAGTCCTCAGTCAGTCAGTCTTGTTTCAGTGTTTACCTTTCTGTTTCTATGTCAAATCTGTGTTTCTGTTGCCATGTCTAGTTTATATATGAATCTGTTGCCTGCTCAGTTAGTTCCTGTTTTATTTTGATAGTTCCTTGTCTCTTGTTGTGTTGGTATAGTGGTAAAGCTACACACACCTTTGGAGCGATGTCTGCAGCCTGTGCGCAGCTCAGACGCAAGCATTTCGCTGCATGTTATACTGTGAATGTGACAAAAAAATGAATTGAAAGTACACTATGTTCAGTTTTGCTTCCCCTGTCTATTTAGTCAGATTCAGTTCAGCTGTGCTCTTCAGGTGTCTCCACTTTGCCCATTTGCTTTTTTGTATTTAAACCCTCTGTATTGCTTGTTGCATCATCCCTCATGCTTCTCCTGTGTAGTCCTCTGCTTTACGTGTCCTGGTTCAGTTCTGACCTGGCTCTCTGTTTATCTCTCTTCCTTGTAGGTTACAAATAATAAAAGTTAAAGGCTTTCACGTCCTGTCTCCTGTATCTTGCACGTTGATGCCAAAACCTGGCTTCAGCACAGCAACACATGACAGAATATTTGGCTAGACAGAGCTCTGGCTTTTTGTCACCCTGACTACATTGCAAAAAAATACATTCGGGGCGACTGGAATCGATAAGGGAATCGTTTGCAAAAATGGCAAACAATTCCAAGGAATTGAAACAGTGGGAACCGGTTCTCAACAAGAACTGGTTTTCGATACCCATCCCTAGTCACAGGGCCTCAGACCCAGGGTTTGAGTTTCTCTGTGGGTGTGTGATTCTCTGTCTAAGTAAAACAAGTAAAACA